CAGAGTTTCATGCAGCCTTGGGCTGGTGCTCAACATTTGGGCAGACTAAAGACTAAACAAAAGTGATAGATAGATAGATAGATAGATAGATAGATAGATAGATAGATAGATAGATAGATAGATAGATAGATAGATGATAGAAAGATAGATAGAGGTAGGTAGATAGATGATAGAAAGATAGTGATAGATAGATAGATAGATAGATAGATAGATAGATAGATAGAGGTAGGTAGATAGATAAATAGATAGATAGATAGATAGATAGATAGATAGATGATAGAAAGATAGATAGATAGATAGATGTAGGTAGGTAGATAGATAAATAGATAGATAGATAGATAGATAGATAGATAGATAGATAGATAGATAGATAGATAGATAGAGGTAGGTAGGTAGATAGATAAATAGATAGATAAATAGAGGTAGGTAGGTAGGTAGGTAGGTAGGTAGGTAGGTAGCTAGGTAGGTAGGTAGGTAGATAGATAGATAGATAGATAGATAGATAGATAGATAGATAGATAGATAGATTTACCTTGAGTGTTTCTTGATGCACCCTGTCGGCCCAAATATGGGAGAAAGAAATCTTCTTTCTTTCTTCTTTCTTTTATCTATGATAGATAGATAGATAGACAGACAGACAGACAGACAGACAGACAGAGGTAGGTAGGTAGATAGATAGATAGATAGATAGATAGATAGATAGATAGATAGATAGATAGATAGATAGATAATGATAGATAGATAGATAGATAGATAGATAGATAGATAGATAGGTAGATAATTATAAATAGATATAATTATAAATAGATATAGATTATGATGATAGATATCTAGACAGCTATAGATAGATAATTATAAATAGATATATAGATAATTATAGATATACTGTAGATAGATAGATATAATGATAGATGTTGTTGTTGTTAATTGCGAAGTCGTGTCCGACCCATCGCGACCCCATGGACAATGTTCCTCCAGGTCTTCCTGTCCTCTACCATCTTCTGGAGTCCATTTAAGTTCACACCTTCAGTGACTCCATCCAGCCATCTCATTCTCTGTCGTCCCCTTCTTCTATTGCCCTCAATCTTTCCCAGCATTAGGCCCTTCTCCAGTGAGTCCTTCCTTCTCATTAGGTGGCCAAAGTATTTGAGTTTCAACTTCAGGATCTGGCCTTCTAAAGAGCAGTCGGGGTTGATCTCTTCTAGGACTGACCGGTTTGAACGCCTTGCAGTCCAGGGGACTCGCAGGAGTCTTCTCCAGCACCATAGTTCAAAGGCCTCAATTCTTTGGCGCTCAGCCTTTCTTATGGTCCAACTTTCACAGCCATACATTGCAACTGGGAAAACCATGGCCTGGACTATACGCACTTTTGTTGGCAGGGTGATGTCTCTGCTTTTTAGAATGCTGTCTAGATTTGCCATAGCTTTCCTCCCCAGGAGCAAGCGTCTTTTAATTTCTTGGCTGCAGTCCCCATCTGAGGTGATCTTTGAGCCCAGAAAAATAAAATCTGTCACTACCTCCATTTCTTCCCCATCTATTTGCCAGGAATTAAGAGGGCCGGATGCCATGATTTTGGTTTTCTTAATGTTGAGTTTCAAGCCAACTTTTGCACTCTCCTTCTTCATCCGCAACAAGAGGCTCTTTAGTTCCTCTTCACTTTCTGCCATTAGCGTGGTATCATCTGCATATCTTAGGTTGTTGATATTTCTCCCGGCAATCTTAATTCCAACTTTTGTTTCATCTAGCCCTGCCTTTCTCATGATGTGCTCTGCATATAAGTTAAATAGGCAGGGCGACAGTATACAGCCTTGCCAGACTCCTTTTCCAATTTTGAACCAATCAGTGGTTCCGTGTCCAGTTCTCACTGTTGCTTCTTGACCCGCATATAGGTTTCTCAAGAGGCAAATAAGATGGTCTGGTATTCCCATCTCTTTAAGAACTTGCCACAATTTGTTGTGATCCACACAATCAAAGGCTTTAGCATAGTCAATGAAGCAGAAGTAGATGTTTTTCTGGAACTCCCTAGCTTTCTCCATGATCCAGCGTATGTTGGCAATTTGATCTCTAGTTCCTCTGCCTCTTCGAAATAATGATAGATAGATAGTTATAAATAGATATAGATAGATAATGATAGATAAATAGATATAGACAGAGAGAGAGATTAGGTAGTAGGTAGGTAGGTAGGTAGGTAGGTAGGTAGATAGATAGATAGATAGATAGATAGATAGATAGATAGATAGATAGATAGATAGAGTAATGTATTGAGTGAAGTCTGTGAATTAACATGCTGAGAACCTTGAAGAAATGGTTAGCTGGCCAAGTGGCCAGCAGGCCAGACTTTCTGTCTGCAGACTACTTGTTATGCATTTAAGTGGGAGAATACTGTGCTCCTATTGGCTGCCACCTTTAGGCTGAGTGTATAAGTATGGGTGGAGCATGTGCTTGTTAGTTTTCGGTTTTGACTTTGCAATAAAGAGAGTTGTGTTTCACCTACTAACTCTTCAATGTTGCATCGAACTGAATACATAACAGACAGACAGACAGACAGACAGATAGATAGATAAGTGGTGTGATGGCCTAATGGTAAAGATGCTCGCCTCCCACTTGAAAGGTTGAGAGTTCAATCATAAGTAGCAGCAGATATTTCTCTCATAGGGCACAAAGAAAAAATATCTGCTGCAAACTCCAGGGGTGTCAGGAAGGGCATCTGGCCAGTAAACATTCAGCTCCATCCAGTCACCCCGACTCTACCCTGAATTAAGGGATTACAGGGTCATTAAAAGGAAGGATAGATAGAGAAATAGAGATGATAAATGATAGAGAGAAAGAGATCCATCTCTGCTAATTGAAAAACGATTATGATCTTGCTTCAGCCACTTCAGAAAACCTCTGCTGGTTCCTCTATTCACATAGGGCTGCCTATTACCCAATACCTAATGCCTCAATGTTATCCTATTTTTTTCTTACAGTTGTTAGAAAGCAACAGACTCTAAATGGATTCAAAATAGAAATCGAAAGGAAAAAAAGAAACATTCAGCTTTCACTGAGCATTTTAATCTCTCTTTCCATTCATGTCAGCCATGAGATAAAGTCATAAATCTATCATGAAACCACCTCTCTTGCATCAAGGAAGCCTTTGGGCTATTATCTCATAAAATTTCAACTCTTGCTGTTTGAATGGATGTGACTGGAGCAATTACAGCTCTTGTCATTAGGTACCCAAAGGAAGAGACGTTATTTCTTGAGAATTTTTTTTTGTAACTTTAACCATATGATTTTCAAATGGCAATTCCATACTGGGCTTCAAAGGTTCAACGAATGGAGATATAGATGATCCTCAACTTACGACCACAATTGAGCCCAAAATTTCTGTCGTTAAACGAGACAGTTGTTATGTAAATCAGTGCAGTTGTTAAGTTAGTAACATGGTTGTTAAGTGAATCTGGCTTCCCCACTGACTTTGCTGGTTAGAAAGTTGCAAAAGTTGATTGCATGACCGCGGGACACTGCAACTGTCATAAATATGAGTCAGTTGCCAGGCGTCTGAATTTTATCATGTGATCATGGGGCTGCAATGGTCATAAGTGTGAAAAGTGGTCATAAATCACTTTTTTCAGTGTCATCGTAACTTTGAACAGTCACTAAATTAATTGTTGTAAGTCGAGGACCACCTGTAACATGGCATCTTCTTGACTGGCAAATTACAACATTCCAGATGTTTTCTTCATCACATGAATGAGATTATGGAACGAGATTTGATACAACATAAGCATGATGAATATAAATTAAAAAAAATGAAATGCTATAATCCCAATAGTACATCGCCCAGCAGTAAAAAAATAAAATAATAATTTTCTTAAAAATACATCTGGTTGCAAACAATTTTAAGTAGTAAGACCCACTTCTGAGTAAGCAACTACAGCATTGTTACTAATGGAACTTTGGGGAACCTTTATTATTTTTTGCATTATGTTTAATGGACTCAACAAATAGTACTGGCTGCCTTGCCACTATTAAATAAAATGTAAAATTTTGAAAACCGGTGAAGCACTTTGAATAGCAAAAACATTCACTTAAATTAAAACCATCCTTCATATTGAAAGAGCAGAGTTTCTTATAGTTGAGCCATTATCTATCGAATGATATGCAACTCATAAAATAACTGCGAGAAGCTAAAAGCTAACGGTGAGATGGAAAGATAAAGACGCAGTAATATGTGAAGTATTTTCTGACTTTAGGTTCATTTTAAAAGTTGCTTCATTTTATCTCCATATTTCCACAAAAATAAAGAACTGTCAATGGCCAAAGGTACTTTAACTGAGAACCATGCTCGGGATATTAGTATTTTTAAAAACAGAATAACAGAGTTGGAAGGGACCTTAGAGGTCTTCTAGTCCAACCCCTGCTCAAGAGGAGAGCTTAAACCAGGGATAGGCAACCTTGGCTCTTTTATGACTTGTGGACTTCCAGAATTCCCGAGCCAGCCATGCTGAGGGGAAAGGGAGAGGTTTCCAAGCTGAGCCATACTGGCTCAGGAATTCTGGGAGCTGAAGTCCACGAGTCATGAAGGGGCCATAGTTCCCCCATGCTGGCTCAGGAATTCTGGGAGTTGAAGTCCGCGAGTCATAAAAGAGCCAAGGTCACCTACCCCTGACCTAACTGAACACCGAAGAACAGCCGTTGTCCCAAAAATAGAGCTGCTGCCTTTTTTTTTTTTAGCCTTTTGTCTTTTCCCATCTCCTAGTAGTTCAACTGAAGGTTTAAAAAAAAAAAATATTCACCACTTTAGTTTAAGAGATTATCAATATGCCAGGACTGAACTTGCAACATCTCAGCAGTGGAAGAGCCGAGGCAGTGGGCGATGACAGCTAATACACCACAATCAGCATTTATACTGTTTTGTATGAGACAAATGCCTTGACTTGTATTCAGTCCATGCCCTTTGATCCTGTTAGCCGAGGAGATGTTTGAAAAGCACGAATCACGCTTTCTCATTTCAGGTGCCTTTTGTATTCCACTGTATGTACCCTATGTCCTCATGGGAAGATGGGCCTTCGGGAAAAGCTTTTGCAAACTCTGGCTGGTGATGGATTATCTATTGTGTACCACTTCAGTCTTCAATATCGTTCTGATTAGTTATGACCGATTCCTCTCTGTGACCAGAGCGGTGAGTTCTCTTCTAGCCATTCAAAAAGTTGACAAATGATTTTGAACTGATGCTGCATTCCTCCTCCTCCTCCTCCTCCTGCTCCTGCTCCTCCTCCTCCTCTTCATTATCCCGCCCTTTCTCTGGCTCTCTGGCTTTTCCTCCTCGTTGTCTTCTCCCTCCTCCTTCCCACTGCCTCCTCTTTCTCTTCCTCCCTTTCCTTCTCCTTCTTCTTTTCCTTCTCTTGTTCCTCCTCCTCCTTCCCTCCTCCTCCTCTTCCTTCTCCTTTTCATTACCCTACCACTTCTCTTACTTCTTCTCCTTTTTCCTCTTCCTCCTCCTCCTCCCCCTCTCCTCCACTTTTTCCTTCTCCTGCCCTTCTTCCTCCTCGTTCTCCTTTTTCTCCTCCTCCTCCTCCTCCTCTTCTTCCTCCTCCTCCTCCCTCCCTCCTCTTCCTCCTCCTGTTCCTCTTCCACTGCATCTTGTTCCAAAATCACATATTACTTGTGTTTCTGGAACCCAGTAGGAAATATTGACACATTTAATTTTTTTTTCCGTTAAAAAAAACCAGATCTGAAAACTAGATTCGGACTTTTACTACGTTCCCTTTCTCTCAGGAGCAGGCTGCAGGAAAAGATCAATCAAATCTCTTGCAAACAGAGATTGCAATTAGGATTTTGTTATTGTTGTTTTAAAAAAAAAAGCCACATGTGGCCTGAAGGTAACACATTGTCTATCCCCGAACTAGGAAGATTTGTATATGAGCGCCAAAGAATTGAGGCCTTTGAACTATGGTGCTGGAGAAGACTCCTGTGAGTCCCCTGGACTGCAAGGCGATCAAACCGGTCAGTCCTAGAGGAGATCAACCCTGACTGCTCTTTAGAAGGCCAGATCCTGAAGTTGAAACTCAAGTATTTTGGCCACCTAAGGAGAAGGAAGGACTCACGGGAGAAGAGCCTAATGCTGGGAAAGATGGAGGGCAATAGAAGAAGGGGACGACAGAGAATGAGGTGGCTGGATGGAGTCACTGAAGCAGTAGGCGTGAGCTTAAATGGACTCCAGAAGACGCTAGAGGACAGGAAGGCCTGGAGGAACGTTGTCCATGGGGTCGCGATGGGTCAGACATGACTTTGCAACTAACAACAACAACCATCAAATAATTCTAGCTGTTTTGGGGGCAGCTGATCAAGGGAAAGAGCTGTAGCCACAGAGGGAGGGGGAGGAGGAAAGGAGAGTCAGAGAGGAGATCTGCAAGAGATGAAAGAGGAAGAGATTGATGTAGTTCCAAGCCACACTCAGAATACAGTAATACAATATCGAGGACCATCCAAGCCAGAGCAAGGAAAACATGCTCTGGAAAGGGAGCAATGAAGTTAGTGCTGAGGTAAATGTCTTGAAGCTGAAGCTCAAATATTTCGGCTACCTACCAGTAATGAGAGGAAAGGACTCATTGGAAAAGACCCCAATGTTGGGAAAGACAGAAGGCAAAAGGGGAAGGGGACGGCAGAAGATGAGATGGCTAGAGAATGTCATCCACACAGTGAACATGAATTTGGGCAAATTCCAGGAGATAGTGGAGGGCAGAGAGGCCTGCTGTGCTAACAAGAAAAGAGAGAGAGAAATGATAGATAGATAGATAGATAGATAGATAGATAGATAGATAGATAGATAGATAGATTATAGACAGACACAGAGATAATAGAGAGAGAAATGATAGAAATGATAGAGATAGATAGATAGATAGATAGATAGATAGATAGATAGATAGATAGATAGATAGATAGATAGAGGATATTTAGATAGACAGAGACAGACAGATAATAGATGATGATAGATAGATGATGGACAGACAGACAGAGAGACAGACACACAGACAGAGATGATAGAGAGAAAACTGATAGAGAGAGAGATGAGAGAGAGAAATGATAGATAGATAGATGATAGATGATAGATTTTAGATAGACAGAGACAGACAGATGATAGATAGATAAATAGATAGATAGATAGATGATAGACAGACAGACAGAGATACAGACACACAGATAGAGATGAGAGAGAGATGAGAAAGAGAAATGATAGATAGATAGATAGATAGACAGACAGACAGATAGATATGATAGAGAGAAATGATATAAGTAGATAGACAGACATAGATAGAAACATCTAAGCTCTCTCTGAATCAAGAAGAACTATTACTATCCTTAGAGAAGGAATAGAATCAAGACATTGATGCAACCATTTTCAGCTGAAATTCATTCAGCCAGGAACTTGAACATAGTTCCTTGCTGCCATCTGCTTTCTCTACCACACCTCCAACATTTTCTGATGCAGAAAACAATTTCATACAAGACAGTTCTTCTGGGAACATCCAATTGGAAAGACTTATTTTAGAGGAACACACATCTAAAAGATGTTGCATTCAGGAAAATAATCACTTGCAGAATATGCAAGCATATTACTGGCCTTTTGATTGTAACAATAAATGTGATTTGATTTGAATATGCATACATTCAAGTAAATAGACCAAGTCTTTATATATTTGGAGAAAAGTGGACTAATTTTCATACTGATGTGGAACTACTGCAGTGATAGGACATAACTTATTTAATATTAGATATAGGGAGTCCTTGGGACCAGAAACTCCATTGCTAAGGGATGCTGTTGTTAACTGGGTCACATCTGATTTTATCACCTTTTTCCTGCAGTCATTAAGTGACTGGCCGTACTCAGAGTGTGGTCCTCAATGAAACCGCATCTACATGGAAGGAAGTGTGTAGTGGGGTGCCCCAGGGCTCTGTTCTGGGCCCAGTGCTCTTCAACATCTTCATCAACGATCTGGACGAGGGGATAGAAGGGTAGCTCATCAAATTTGCAGACGACACCAAGCTGGCAGGAATAGCCAATACTCCAGAAGACAGGCTTAGGATACAGGAGGATCTGGACAGACTTGAACACTGGGCGCTATCTAACAAAATGAAATTCAATGGTGAAAAAAGTAAGGTTCTACATTTAGACAAGAAAAACCAAATGTACAGGTATAGTATAGGGGGTATCTTACTCAATAGTAGTAACTGTGAGAGGGATCTCGGAGTCCTAGTGGACAATCATTTAAATATGAGCCAGCAGTGTGCTGCAGCTGCCAAAAAAGCCAACACAGTGCTAGGCTGCATCAACAGAGGGATAGAATCCAGATCATGTGAAGTATTAATACCACTTTACAAGGCCTTGGTAAGGCCACACTTGGAATATTGAATCCAGTTTTGGTCACCACGATGTAAAAAAGATGTTGGGACTCTAGAAAGAGTACAGAGAAGAGCAATGAAGATGATTAGGGGACTGGAGGCTAAAACATATAAGGAACGGTTGCTGGAATTGGGTATGTCTAGTTTAACAAAGAGAAGGACGAGGGGGGACACGATAGCAGTGTTCCAATATCTAAGGGGCTGCCCCAAAGAAGAGGGAGTCAAGCTATTCTCCAAGGCGCCTGAAGGCAGGACAAGAAGCAATGGATGGAAACTAATCAAGGAGTAAACCAACCTAGAACTAAGGAGAAATTTCCTGACAGTTAGAACAATTAATCAGTGGAACAACCTGCCTCCAGAAGTTGTGAATGCTCCAACACTGGAGGTTTTTAAGAAGAGATTGGACAACCTGTTTGGCTGAAATTGTATAGGGCTTGCTGCCTGAGCAGTGGGTTGGACTAGAAGACCTCTAAGGTCTCTTCCAACTCTGCTATTCTGTTAACGTTAAGCAGCAAAAAAACATTTGACTGGATAATCAACTGTTTTCCTTTGAACTGAATATCCACACAGGGAGAGGATATTCTCTAGTAAATTTGACTCCTTGTTTTCCTTTTCCAGGTCTCCTACCGAGCTCAACAAGGCGACACCAAGCGAGCCATATTCAAGATGGCGATGGTCTGGCTTTTAGCTTTCTTGCTCTATGGACCTGCAATTATCAGCTGGGAATACATATCCGGGCGGAGCATCATTCCCGATGGGGAATGCTATGCAGAATTTTTTTACAACTGGTACTTCCTCATCACGGCCTCCACCATTGAGTTCTTCACCCCTTTCATCAGCGTGATGTTTTTCAACTTGAGCATCTACCTGAACATACAGAAACGGACCAAGTTCCGCCTGGGGGTCCTTCGCGACAGCCAGAATTTCGTGGAGGAGACCGAAATGAACCCGGGGCGCAAACTCTCCATGAAATGCTGTAGGTGGGAAGAAAAAGATCCAGGAAGCCTGACGCTTCCAACATGGGACACTCCAGAAAAAGATGCTGGAGGAAGTATTAACGTAAAGTATTCACAGGACTCCGATGCGGAACGAAAATCTTCCGGCAAAAGGAATGATAAAGACTGGGCCGCCAACCTTTCCTTGGAGAAACAGTTGAAGGAGGCTTCCCAGAGTGTCACCCAGCGATTCAGACTCACTAGGGACAAGAAAGTAGCAAAATCGCTAGCTGTCATTGTAGGGATTTTTGGCCTTTGCTGGGCACCATATACGCTTCTCATGATCATCCGGGCTGCTTGCCATGGTCACTGTATCCCTGTGTATTGGTATGAGGCTTCTTTCTGGCTGCTGTGGGTTAATTCGGCCATCAACCCCGTCCTTTACCCACTCTGTCACTACAGCTTCAGGCGAGCTTTCGTTAAACTCTTGTGCCCAAAGAAACTGAAGATCCAGCCCCATAATTCTCTCCAGAAATGCTGGAAGTAACCTAACTGGGTAGAAGTAACTGCATCAAGATTTCTTTTAAGGCAGGGGTTCCCAACCGGGGCTGCTCGCACCCCCTGGGGGTGCAAAAACTTGGGTTTTCAAAATTATAGTGCATATGCATAATTTGGAGTGCAAGAATATATCAGAAGCATTCTAGGGGTGCAGGGTATAGAAAGGTTTGGGAACCACTGTTTTAAGGGGTACGGCAGTAAGAGTTACAAAGGATGAAGGAGAGACCAAGTTATCTAGGCCTTGGGTTTCTAACCTTTGATGTGTAGACTGGATGTGGTCCTCAAGTTCTCTTTTTGTATCTATGGAATCCTCAGATTGCACTGCTGAAAGTTGGCAATAATAATAATAATGATAAAGTTGGAAGGGACCTTGGAGGTCATCTAGTCCAACCCCCTGTTCAGGCAGGAAACCCTATACCATTTCGGACAAATGGCTGTCCAGTTTCTTCTTAAAAACTTCCAGTGTTGGCGCATTCACCGCTTCTGGAGGCAGGTTGTTCCACTGGTTAATTGTTCTAATTGTCAGGAAGTTTCTCCTTAGTTCTAGGTTGCTTCTCTGAGCACTGGGCCCATAACAGAGCCCTGGGACACCCGACTGTACACTTCTCTCCATGTAGATGCGGTTCCATTGAGGACCACACCCTGAGTACGGCCGGACAGCCAGCTACGGATCCATCTGGTGGTGATGCTGTCTAATCCGCATTTTTCTATCTTCGCAAGTAGTAGGTTGTGGTCTACTTTGTCAAATGCCTTACTGAAGTCCAAGTAAATTATATCCACAGCATTCCCTGGTCCACTAATTTTGTCACTTGGTCAAAGAATGCAGTAAGATTTGTCTGGCATGATCTGTTTTTGACAAACCTGTGTTGGCTTTTAGTAATGACTTTGTTTGCTTATAGGTGTTCGCTGATTTGTTGTTTGATTATCTTTTCCAGAATCTTCCCAGGTATTGAGGTCAGGCTGATAGGTCTGTAATTTCCTGGGTCCTTTTTCCCCCCTTTTTTGAAGATGGGAACTACATCAGCTCTTTTCCAGTCCTCTGGTAGTTCCCCAGTGCTCCAGGATCTTTGAAAAATATAGTTCAGTGGTTCTGAGATCACATCTGCCAGTTTCTTAAGAACCTTGGGATGTAATCCATCTGGTCCTGGTGATTTGAACTCATCTAGGCTGGACAGGTGTTCACTTACCATTTTCTTGCCTATCTTAACTTGTATTTCTATTTTGTTTTTTATGGCACTATTTTTGATAGGTTGGTCTGGTTTTTTCCTTTGTGTAAAGACAGATGCGAAAAACAAGTTAAATAGCTTTCTCCCTATTGCTTGTCACCTTCTTGCCATTTTCACCCACTAATGGACCAATTGTTTCCTTCACTTTTTTCTTGTTTTTTACCTGTTGAAAGAAGCTTTTTTTGTTATTTTTGACTTTGGTTGCAAGCCTTAGTTCATTTTGAGCCTTAGCTTTCCTCATTTCGTCTTTGCAGGCTCAGGCTATTTGCTACTATTCTGACTTAGTTAAGTGCCCCTCTTTCCACTTTCTATACTTGTCCTTTTTATCTTTCAATTGATCAGAGAGTTATTTATGCAGCCATGCTGGTTTCTTCTGAGAGCTGTTATTTTTCCTCTTTTTGATATTGTGCTAGACTGGGCCTTTATTATCTCACTTTTCAAAATTTCCCAAGTCTCTTGAGTTGTTTTCCCCTGGAGGATTCTCATCCATGGAATCCTTCCTAAACTCTAAGTTTATTGAAATTAGCTCTCTTGAAGTCCAAGACTCTAATTTGACTGTGTTCTATTGCTTGTGCTTCCATAATGTTGAATTCCAATATTGCATGATCACTACCTCCCAAGGTTCCTATGGCTTCAACAGCTTCTATCATTTCATCTCTGTTAGTGAGAATTAGGTTCAAAATGGCTAATCCCCCTAGTTCCCTTCTCTACTTTTTGGGAGACAAAGTCGTCTGCTAGGTTTGTCAGATACCTGTTTGATCTTCCACTTGGTGCAGAGTTTGTCTCCCAGTTGATGTCAGGGTAGTTAAAGTCCCCCATTACTATTGTGATGTGCTTCCTACATACCTTAGTTAGCTGACTAGCAAAAAGTTCATCTATTTCCTGTGTTTGGTTGGATGGCCTATAGTATACACCTATGGCAATGTCATTTCCCCCCCCCCTTTATATTGACCCATATGCATTCAGGACAGTTTTCATCATTGTTGTGCTCTATTTCTGTAGAGATGTAGTTATTTCTTATATAGAGAGCAACTCCACCTCCTCTTTTATTTGGTCTGTTTCTTTTAAATAATTTAAATCGCTCTAGCTGTGTGTTCCATTTGTGGGTTTCGTCCCACCATGTTTCCGTTATAGCAACAATATCATATCTGCCCTCATTAACCTGAATTTCTAGTTCACCCTGTTTGCTGTTCATACTCTGTGCATTTGTGTATAGACATTTGAGTCCTTTATGACCGACCCTGTGTTTACTTCCTACATAACCTGTGTGGTGCCTGAGTTCCCCTAATGTCTTACCACCTATCTGGTTAGTGCACTTTGTGTGGCACTCGCTATTAAGAGCTTGAATATCTGTGGGATTAAAAAAAAAAGAAAAAGTGTGCCATAATTCTGGTGGACTTAACATTGCCTTCAGAACTTGGATCAAACTTTCTACTTTTTCCAGGGTTATTTTTTCTGCTTTAGTTCTGTATAGCCAAAAATAGGTTGCAGAACAGATCTAGATACAGTCAGTTGAATCGAAGAAAATACGCATTTAAATATATGCTCTTCAAATCTGCATGGTTAAGATTTTCAGATAGAAGGAAGGGAAAGAAATGTCCAAAGCTGGTCCAATATATAGGTAATCCTTGACTTACGACCACAATTGAGACTGGAACTTTTTTTGCTAAGCGATGTGCTCATTCGGTGAGTCATCATGTGAATATTACTGATTTTATGACCTCTTTTGCTGTGGTGGTTAAGCAAATCCGGCTTCCCCCATGGACTTTGCTCATTGGAAGCCAGCTGGGAAGGTTGTGAAAGGTGATCACATGATGCTGCAATTGTCATAAATACATGCCAGTTGCCAAGTGTCTGAACCACAGTCATGTGACCACAGAGAAGCTGTGATGGACGTAAGTGCAAGGACCAGTCATAAGTCACTATTTTCAGCAGGGTTGTAACTTTGAAGAGTCACAACCAAATGAATAGTTTTAAGTTGAGGTCTATCTGCATTTTGTTTCTAGAGATGAAAGACATTTCTACATGTCATGGGGGGGGATCTAATCCTGATAGTAGGGCAGTGTTCTCTTCCACTTACAAGGACAAGATGCTAGATTAATGCCACGTGCATTCATACCAAGACTTTGTTCTCATTCATTCAATATCCTAACCAGTCTGCTGGTACAAGTGCCATTTCACATCTTACGAGCAGATCATACATGCTAAATTCATTTTCTCAATGCTAATCCATGAAGTCTATGGAAAAGTGTATTGTCAGGTGCCACAATAAGCTCCAGTTAAGCTGATTTATTGCTATACATAAGAATCTAGTCAACTAACAGTCAGCACTAAATTGGTGCTTGATAAGAATTAACAGAATTCAAAAGGGGTTTGACTTAGACTGCTTGTGGGAACCTAATGATTCCAGGCTGATTCCTCTCTTGACTCCTACCCCCAAACTCTGCCTATCCTTCTCCTACAAGTATGTCTGATTAACTTCTCAGGATCTTTACATAGAGATCCGAACTAGCAATGTTTGGCCAGGAAAAAGACTTTGGTTTTGTAAAGAATGGTGCAATGAAAACATTGAAACATTGCTTGTCTCTCCAAGGAATTAAAAATCAAACTCCCAGTATTACAACAATTTGATGTAACCAATACTTAGGAAATGCTATATACAGGAAATATATTGTAGAATTTAAAAAGTTGCAGAACAGAGCAATCAAGTGAGGAAAGACTACAACGTCTGGGGGCTTGTGATGGCTTAAAAAAAAAGACCTGTTAGAAATATAGATAATTAAGAGTATTGTGGAGGAAGGGGGAAAAAAAGGTCTCTTCTAGAGGTGTATACAAGGTTTGGTAAAAACATTCTAGAGGGTACTCCTGATAATGTAATCTTTTGTGCACTGGGGCTTTGATTACACTATTCATCACTTTTTTTAACTAAACGTGTGCACACCTCTCTAAGGAACGATGTACACCTACTTTTAAAAAGGTAAGCATGAGGGAGCTTGAGAGAGTTTTGAAATCTGGATGAAAAATCATAAGAAAGTTTCCCACGGGACCCCCTTACGTTCCATCCTCATCTGCTTTTCAGTTGCAAGCTATAGGAACAGAGAAAGTGGCTTCATATTCTGACTGGACTTTGAAGCTAAATGGTAAATTGTTTAAACCAGAAATAGGCAAATCTTTAGTAAGGGGGAGGACCATTTCATGTTTGTGTGTGTGTGTGGGGGGGTGAATTCCAGAAAAGTTGGGGCATTTATGCAAAGCAGACAAGACTGGATCCAACACACCGACAGGAACTGATTTTTTTATATTGCTTTCTTTCTAAGATTTGGGGTGAGATTGTAACTGATTCTTGGATATATACATATATAACTTCTAAACTAGGGCTCACTCTACAGCTTCTGAGTATGTTCCATCTCAAAATGATAGGAATGCCTAAGAACCCACCAATGGTTCCTGGGTTACTCCCAAAGGCATCTACGGAGAAGCATTGCAATTGCCACTCCTTTATTATGTGCATTGTGGCATCCCCCACACAGACACACACATGGAAAGGGATGTCCTCGTATTGTGACAGAGTGACATTATTTCCATTATTTTGACGAAGTCTATGATCCTGCCAGTTACCCTTAATTGCGCAGCTCTATCTTAAGAGCATTTCACAAGTTATCAGAAAAGTAAAGATTGAGTCATTTGTCCCAAAAGTGCTTTTTCAAGACGCAACTGGACTTCCTTTGTTTTTCCTTGAAGACATTTTGATTCTCATCCAAGA